CTTCCTCTTTTGTATTGAGTACTTCTCTAGGTTACTCAACAAAAGGGCTAAAGTAGGTGGCTTTAACTATCACAAGGATTGTGCAGCACTTGGGATTACGCACTTGGCTTTTGCTGATGATCTTATGTTGTTCTCTAGAGGGGATTCCCATTCTGTGCAGGTTTTAATGGATGCTTTGGACCATTTTTCAAGGGTGTCTAGCCTAACCCTTAATCCTACTAAGTCCAACATCTTCCTTGCTGGTAAATACAGGGATGTTAGCCAAAATATTCTAGGTCTTGCCTCCTTTCCTCGCGGTCAGCTTCCTGTTAGATATCTGGGTCTCCCTTTGGCCTCTCAAAGGATCTCTGAGAGTGATTTTGCCCCTCTGGTCAAAACTGTTGATGGTTTTCTGTCTAAATGGAGCACTTTGAAGTTATCCTATGCTGGCAGACTGGAACTGATTAGAGCAGTGGTACAGGGAGTCCAATCCTTTTGGCTCCAGGCCTTTCCTGTCCAGAAATATGTGCTTGACCGTATCACCTCCATGTGTAGAGACTTCCTTTGGGGCAGCAAACTTGCCAAGGTTGCATGGGTTGATATTTGCAAGCCAAGGGAGGAAGGTGGTTTGGGTCTGAAGGACGCCAATACCTGGAATAATGCTCTGTTGTGCAAACTTCTGTGGAACCTGGCAGCTAAGAAGGACACCCTTTGGGTCAAATGGGTTCACAATGTTTACATTCAGGGTGAGAACCTGTGGCAGTGGCAGCCCAAGAAGAGACACTCTGTCTTCTTCAAAAGGCTTGCTTATGTGCGTGACCTTTTGGTTCAAAAGCTTGGTGACCTTCATCCTTCTATGGAAGAGGCTATGAAACCCTTTTGCTTGGCAGGTAACCTTATTCCAAGAAAGGTTTATGATTTGTTTAGGGCTAAAGCCAACCCGAAGCCTTGGATGGCTTTCATTTGGCAAAGCTATATTCCTCCTAAGTGCTCCTTTACGTTGTGGCTGGCACTTAAGAGGAGGCTGCCCACCAAAACTAACTTGGAATTCCTCGGTTTGCCGATGGACTGCACCTTCTGTGGACATGGGTTGGAAGATGTGGACCACCTGTTCTTTAGCTGCCAGTTCTCTAAAGAAGTTTGGGACAATATCAAGACTTGGCTAGGTATGGAAGGACACCTGAGTACCCTCACCAGAACCATCAGATGGCTGAAGGCTTTTAGGCGAGGGGATGGGATCCTCAAGAAGGCGAGAAGGATTG